TGTGCGCACAGATAGCGATGACGTCGTGTGCATAGTCCTAAAATCTCCTATGCGCAAACCATATACGTACTGTACGCGTACTACACGGACTCGTACGTGTATAAACGCAGACCTCGGGAGTATATACGACCCTCTGAGATAATATTATCGTCGAGTCTGCTGCACTGTCGGCCGGGATTTCGCACGCGACGAGCGACTGACTAACGGGGCGATAAATTCACTGCGTCCGGACAAATCGAACGCGCGAATATTGTTGTTTGATTGTTTTTTTTTTTTTTTTTTTTTTTTTTTTAATTTAGGACCCGAAAACGTATGCGCGCCGTCGAAAATACCGGTCCTCCGACCGCTGTCCAAAATACGTAAATAAAACTATAAAAAACAAAAAATCAAAACGAATTCGCGGTGTTGCTGCGGAAGGTTTTGCGCCCGGTGGATGGTCACTACGGGGTTTTTTTTCCCCCGTTTTCGTTTTTCGAACGCGTCGCCGGGAACGGCACGACGGTATTTCATTTTTTTTTAATATACGACGATAAATCACGTCGAATATTTGTGGTGGGTGGGGGGGAGGAGAGGTACAAACACAGACGCGCAGTTCGCCCGGTGAAAAATCCGAAATCGAAATGTATATCGCGTTGTTTTAAACTCTACATTTTACAAGTGGAAATAATCGCACAGGTATATAATATATATATATTTTTAATCGCGCATAAGACGGGGAGCGGGGGAGGGCGGGTGGAAACGGAAGTCACGATTCGAAAAGAAAATTATAAAAAAAAAATATAATAAAAACCAATCCAATTGTCGTAAATGCGAAAAAACGAATTTCCGACTTGTGCGCGTTGAAATCTATCGTACTATACTAAATATTTTAACCTTTAAACGGTTTTTCGTCGATAAAAAACTTTTCGAAATTTATAACACAATTGCACGCGGAATATCATATAATATTTTTTATGCGGAGCAAATCAAATAACTACACGCGTAACCGTAAAAAAAAAAAAAAATAATAATAATAATAAATATAACGACGAATTGCGTACGATTTTTGAAATCGTTTTAAACCTATGTAAACAAATGTGACGAGAATCGGGTTAAACGTCCGCGACGATTACAGAGGATTATTATTATTATTATTTTTTTTTTTTTTTTTTTGATTTTTCTGTTCGCGTATTACATTATACGTGAATTATGCGCCCGTAACAAACTCCGTATATCTGTGAGCTGCTTCGAAAAGAAAATCGCGACATTTTTGATATTATGCATATACCATGGTTTAAAACATCGAACATTATATCAGACGTGTTTTAATGAACTGTAGTGCATGATTGGTTATTACTGTATTTCAAAAACGAGTCGTTTATGTGATTTTTATTACAGGCTACAGAATCATCGTATATCAAAACGAATAAAACTGTTACGATTAGGCAGCCTTGTAAAGCACTTGAGTAAAAGTATTCAGTTATTTTTTAAGTACTCAAATAGGTATTATTAATACACTTGAAAAAAGTGCTTGGGCACAGTATTTGAATACTTTTTTTAATATTTCTGTATTTAAAATCAAATACTATTTTTAAATACTTTTTTCATCATACCCGATGTACAGGAACGCAAATATTTAAATAAAACAATTTAAATTTTACAACAATTTTATTTTTATTTATAGATCGTTACGCTTTGCATATTATATTATAATAAAATTGGTGATACAACCAATTTTGCTTGAATTACATTTTTGTAGAACAAACAAATCTGAGTATTTGAAAGTAAAATACAAAAATACTTTTGAAAAGTATTTATGTTTGTACTTGAACATTTTTTTATCCGTGTATTCAAATACGTATTTTAAATACTTTTGAAAATAAGTGTCTGTATCTTTATACTTGAATACTTTTTAAAAGTAGCTTTTACAAAACTGTGTTTAGAGTACAGATTTGAATGCAAATTGCATTTTTTTTCTGAATTGTTCAATAAAACAATGTTTTTCGAGCATGAAATTCGTTTTGTACGTCAAAGAATTAAAATATAAAACTCTTAATTTGCATTTTTTGCATTCTTAGAAATTTTTTTTAGAGCATTTTTGACATTTTTAGTATGTTTTTAGGTTTCAATACACTTTTTCTTATGTTTAAATACTACTGCATATGTTTTGCTACTAAAAGAAAACAAATTCATATTTTTCTGTTATACGGATTTACTGATTGTACCTGCAGATAAATACGATGCCGGCTGCAATAAAGAAAACAATAAGCTATTTATTGAAGTCGCAATGTAATCGTATTGCACTATATTCAGTGTTTTTTTTTCGTAAATTAATGTACCTTTCCTTAAATAAGTATTTTTTTCAACGTTTAAAATAATTTTTAGGGCTTTTTTTATATAAAGAGCATTAAATTGTATTTTTTTAATGCGGTTTTTTTGTTTTTTAGATCATTTAAATCTGCACCCAAGCTATGATGTTTGATTGTTGATAATGATGTGATGATTATATAGATATCTAGCAGGGAATTTTTTTTACGATCGAAATTCTTAATTCGACATCTTGATTTTTGAGTTTATTTCATAAAACCGTAATAACGTGATAACGTGAAATCAAGTGAACGCTATTTTTAAATGTCTTATTCGTGTGGTGCCTGAATATGTATTCCGGCAACAACGTTTTGTGTAATGTTAAAATTAAAAGTAAGTTAGAAAAAAATAAAAAATCATACACATACACATACACATACGAGTTCGGAACAAAAGATAGTAAAAACCAAATAAGTACCGAAAAGCGTGTGTCTGCAGATCGTGTAAGCCGTCCATCATAATATGGTTTTATATTCACGAATTATAATATTGTACTGTTATATACGGTAAAAAGAATAAAACGCTGAGAAATTGAATGCTTTAAAATTTAAACGTATGCAGACATAGTATCCCACACCCATTGTAACATCTTCAGAGGTAATAATGATAATCGAATTCGGTTTATTTTTTTTTTTTTCTATGTATATATGTTATTCACAAGGATGAGGATTACAACCGTTTATATTCCTATTAATTTTTTATGTTATGATTAAACAAAAAGTTCAGGGAAAAATACCAATAATTATGCAATAAGCTGTAATCGTATCCTCTACTATTGATTATCATTAATATGGCTAGTTGAATTTACGCTTTTTTCTCGGAACTTTCAAAAACCATTAAAAATCACGAATTTAATGAAAAATAAAAAGTCGATACGTCGAAATGTCCAGAAAATAAACTCTATCAAATTTGTCTAAAATTTTGGAATTTTTTTTACCAAAATGTAAACATTGAATTCGAATATAAATATTTACAGTCCTTATCCTTGCGAAAAAATACCAGAATTCAATTATCTTTATTATCTCGGCAAATATTACAGTGGGTATATCTTAACAAGACACCTTGTACAATATAACCGTTTGATATCGTTTTTGATAACCACAAATACATCATTTTCCGATTTTCGTGTTATCTATAACAGTAAGCAAAAATCAAAACTGGGTAAGTTAATGATTTTTTTTCAACTCAGTTGAGTTGAGTTAAATTTAAATAAAGTTAATAATTAAAAGTTAGTTCGAAATAATCCATCAATTAAACCAAATAAGAAGTTAACCAAAAATTAAAATTAACTCAAGTTAAGTTAATTGAAAAAAAAAATGTATTGTTTATTACCCACCTATAATACAGCCTAATAATCCACCTATAACCCCCGACCGGTGACAACAGTAAAAACAATACCAGGCAATAAATTCGTATTTTAAAACGTCCGTAATATATCGATGATTATAACAATAATAATAATAATATATTTACTTATATGAGCGTACAAATAAAAATCGAAATCAACCTTGGTTGATTAAAAGTTAATATTCTTTTGTATTCCTCGAGTTAACAATCAAGTTAATAGTTTAAAAGAAATTAAGCTGAAAAGTCAAAGTTGACTTAACTTTTCAATTTATTAACAACTCGTTAATGCCTTGGAAAAAAAATCATAAAACACCGTGTCCGATAACGAATTCATCCGGGTTAATCGCCAAAACGGCGTTTACGAGTCCCGAAATCGAATTTACCCGAAATCTCCTAAACCTTAAATTCTGACGACGATAACACTGTCGGTCACGCGTTGCCCAATACAAACGATAGCGACGACGCGACGTCCGAAACGAGCGCGAACTCGTGGGCCGCATCCGATTTCCGTCGCATTAACCTTTTTTTTTTTTTTTTTTATACCGTTTCCGAATACATAAACGTTAAATGCGAAAAAGTCCAAACGCAGAGTGTATGCTTTCAGAAGTAAAAGTTTGTTTTCGGATTTAATTTATACCACGATTATTAAATGTGAATAATTTACGCGGACGTTTTTCCGATCAACGTGCAAACACGGAAAAACTCATTGAAACAGTATTGTATTATTAATGCGTACAAGTTCGGTTGGGACGGAACTCGGACGGCGCAAGCGATCGGCCTGCAATCCGCGACCTACGCCGAAATTCGCCTACGCGGCCGTTGTTACTTGTCGTAATGACGACGACAATAATAATATTAACAACGACGACGACGACGACGGCATTACGGCGTAACGGGGGCCATTGCGCGCGCGGGACGACAATAAAACGCGGTGTTGGATAATGAATACGCGCCGCGCGCACGGCGAGACGCGCCGGTCGAAAAACACCGGACTGGACTGTCGCGGTCCCGACCCGGCTAACCCGGTCCGGCCGGCCCGACGACGTCGGCGATTGTCCGGCCGGCTCGAGTCCTTCCGCGGAGAGCGCGCGCGCGCGGTAAAGGGCGGGCCGCGGTCGGTTCGCTCGCGCGGTTTCGCGTTTGCCGGGCGGGAACAATAAGGGCAGGGCCGCGCGAGTCCCGACACGCCACGGCCGCCGCCGCCCGTGCGTCCCCCGAGCCTCGACTTCCGCGTGCGCGAACGTTCCGCCGGCTAAGGTCAAAACGTTTCCAGCCGGCGTATAAATACCCGCACGACACCGGACCGATCACCAGCATTGTCTACCGACAGCCAGTACTAAGTGCTAACATACGCGGTCTCGCGGTTCAGACTCAGTGCTCGTGTGCAAAATCGTTTCGGTTCCGTCGGTCTTAGTGGTTTCGTGCGTTCGCGTTGCTAGAAGAAGTCGACCGAAACACCCGAGAAAATGAACTCCAGTCTGTTGGTGAGTATCGGCGCCGATGTATATTATTGCGACGGATTATTATTATTATTACTCGTGAACGCGCGGAATAATGCGTATTGTAGGTCCGTGTAGAACAAACCGGTAAGAATCGAAGTTTCGCGAACCGGCGGGACGAATACGATACGACGGCGGTTCGCGAACTTTCGAAATCCGAACGGCTTCCCCCCCACCCCCATCCTTCCCCGCCCAGTTAACCCGGCCGTTATTATCCACTCGTTTGTATAAACGTAAAAACAAAAACACGATTTAACAAACGCGAATTCCACTTGGCCTCCCCCCGGCCGGGAATGTGTTCGCGCCCCTCTCCTGTCGAGAACCACACAGCGCCCGCCCGTCTCCGCGTGTATCTTTTACGCTCTCGAAATACGAGTAGTGGACTTTGCTCGTAATAATACGATATTCTAACCGAACGCACAAAGAAGCGAAAAAAAAACGCAGAAAACACCTTGCCGAGTGTCCTCGCCGTCCGTTCGCGAAACCAAATCGCGAATGTCCGCGTCGGGAAATTATTTTCGACCGCCGCGCAATCGTTTATCAGTAATTCGTTATCGTTATCGCTACGGGCGGTTGTCGAGCGACCACTACGCGTTTTCACTCGTTTGTATTTCGGGTACGGGACTCCGGAAAACCGAAAACGCTAAACGACGAGAGAATATGGGAAATGGGCTAGAAAAATTATGGGGTTTTTAAATGGTTTTTTTTATACATATATTTTGATACACAACAATTAGTTATTCCGTTATTGTTTGATTTTTTTTTTTTTTTTTTTGTTCTCGACGCTCTCGCTATTTTTCCTAATCCCATAAACGCGACCGCTGAACGAATTATTCGGGAAACGAAATTCTCGCGACCTCACGAAACGGTGACACGAACACTCATAGTAATAATCACGTTATGTCGTTTCGCAGATATTCGCAGCAGCGTTCGTGGCGGCCGTCAGCGGAAATGCCGTGTACCCGGCAGTTGCCCACCTTGGACCGGTCACCACGCAATACCACTCGCAAGACGAATGGGGCCAATACGCTTACGGTTACTCCGGCGGCCCGTCGGCCAAACACGAACAGCGCACGGCCGACGGTGTGACGAGCGGCGGTTACTCGTACGTGGACGCCAACGGGCTAGTGCAGTCCGTGGCCTACGTGTCCGACCCGCATAACGGTTTCCGGGCCACCGGCACCAACTTCCCCGTCGACACGGCCCCCGCGCCGCCCGCACCCGTAGTGCCGGTCGTCCACGACGTCGTTCCCGCCCCCGCTCCCGTTCCCGTCCACCCATGGCCCGCAGTCGTCGCCGCCGCCCCTGAACCGGTCGCCCTGCCGACCGTCGTCGAGGCCCGCAACTACTTGCATCCCGTCCACCAATTCGCCCCGCAGCCGCTGTTGAAACTCTCCAAACCGGTGACACCGGCCGGCACCACCAACCTCCACTACCCCGAACACGCCGTCATCCTTGCCGCCCGCAAGAAGCGCAGCGCCGGTCTGTACCCGTACCCGTTGGTGTCCAGCTACGCCGCGGCCCCACATCACGTCGTCACCGTCAAACACGCCGAGTTCGCTGCCCCGCCCGCTCCGGTTCTCCATCACGTCATCGCCCCGGCACCGTACGTCGCGGTACATCACGCACCGGCACCAGCGCCGGTCGCCACCTCGTACACCAGCGTCGTCCACCATCACCAACCGGAACACGTGCCGGCGCCGGAACCGGTGATCGCCTACGCCACCGCTCCGGTCGCCGTCCCCGCCCCGGTCCCGCACGTCTACGTCGAACCGCACGTGGCCGTCCTCCCGACCAAGTCTCAGTACCACTCGCAAGACGAACACGGCCAATACACATACGGTTACACAGACGGCGCCTCCGCCAAGACCGAGACCCGTTACGCCGACGGCGTGACGAAAGGCAGTTACTCGTACGTGGACGATCGCGGTGATGTGCAGGCTGTCCACTATTCCGCGGGCGCTGACGGTTTCAAAGCCGCCGGCACCAACATTCCAGTACACCACGTCTGAAGAAGATCGCGGACGCCGCCGGTTCGTCACAGTACCACGCACCACGGCGCCCCCCTCCTGCGCTGAATCGAATAACACAACGAGTTCTCTATTATGTTTTATAGTCTTCCTTTATATTTCTATACATATGTATACGTATAAATAAACTTTTTGTATAAATGTTGCCATGTGCCGTGTGCGTTATTTCTAGTCTCCGACTGCGAATCGTTATCACAATACGTTTTTCCTATTGTCGCTACGGTCGAAACGATGCGGTGTATTTTTTCCTCTGGATTCTGAGTAGAGCGGTTTTACAATGATTTTTATTTTTTATTTTTCATTATTTTTCATTTTTTTTTTTTTTTTTTTTTTTACTTGTGAACTACTTTTCTACAAGCAATTTCGTTCCGATTTAAAATTATAGCATTTTTTCTAAAATAAAATCTGTCTAGGGTGATACTTTAGGGAGGCCACTTTTTGATTTTCCCATTAAAAGTGAAAAAACGGAAAAACAGGTACAATAATAAACAAATATTATTTAAAAAAATGTATTTTGTAAATGTAATCATTTTACCATAATATGATATATATATATATATTGTTGACAAAGCGACGCTGTCAACCAAACTCCGCTCGGAATCGTTTTTTTCGTTAGCAAGGGGTAATCGTTGCGTACAGATATACATTAAATTTACCCTTTACTGCCTTCCCAACTTCTCACCGGTAACAGCGGCTGCACCCGTCCCCGTTATCCTAAAACAGTTTTTTTTTTTTTTTTACCATGCACAATTTATTGAGGGGCAGAGTCGAGGTAAAACCGTTCGAGTGTTTTTCGTGTACGCATAAACACGTGGGCGTATTTTCGGGGGGAAGGGGGTATAGAGAGAGTGCGACGACCGTCCGAGCAATTCTATACAGTTTTGGTCATTTCATTAAAATAATTAATTTGATATTTTTGAAACTCGACGTGTATATCAGGGTATAATCATAATTATTATAGGTGGTAGGCGTGTGTCCGTTTTATATTTCATCGCACATTTTTATTCCCCCTAACCTCCCCCCCCCCGCCCGAAAATAATATCCCATTCGGCTATGCGCACGTATTTCGATTATTTCAGCTGTACGAACCGTATATTTTGTTCGTTCGGCTCCGTATCAAATCGTTCGGAAAATTGTCGGCGAAAAAGTTTCAAAAATAAACAGTGTTCCTCCAATACGTTTTGTTATAATTTGGGAGACGAATTATGTGCAACAGTCCACATTTCGATATTTTTACATAGGAAGAAAAAACCGATCGATTGAACAAAAAAAAAAAAAAAAAAAACGGGATGCGTCTTACTTTTTTTCAAACTAAGAAACTATAATATAGTATACAGAATGATCAACACAACGTAAGACTCTAATTAACTCGAAAAATATCAACTTTTTTCCGAATTGGTTTCTTAGAACGTTCAAGAAACAAATAGCTTTAAAACGTTACATTACGAATTTTCGTTGGTCTTATTTTTTTAATGGTAAAACCAACTTTTAGGTTTAAAAGGGGGGGTGGGCGGTGAGGAGGGTGGTTCACACCTCCGGGACACCCCCAACGAATCCGCAAATCCACCGCCGCCGCCGCCGCCGGGACTGCGGTGATAAATAAAAGGCCGCGGCGGCCGGTGCGCGTACCGTACGCCGTTGCACGTGACGTGCCCGACAACGGCTCGCGTCCGCCGAGAGCGTGAGAACGCGTCCCCCGCGCCCAGCCGCCACCCCGACGCCGCTAAAAACGTCATGGCGTGTTGACGACGGCCACGCGGAAAAACGTGCGCCTGCAGGCCGCCGAGCGGCGGAGCGGAGTCGTTGGTCGCGATAACAGCCGCCAACGACGGGGACCCGCGCCGAACGGGGAAACCGCGGCGCGTGGGCGCGCGCATTATATTACCGTCGCAGCGTACGGGTAACGCGCGCGCACGCCGCGACGTGCCCATTGTAACGGCGACGGCAACAACAACAGCAACCACGGCAACACCGACAATAACGGCGTGCGACGATATTGTCGTTCGCCGTCGCGGCGGTACGCGCGCAAAACAAACAAAACGGATGCGGTTTTCGGTCCGCGGACGCCGCCGCTGCGCCCGCGCGCCGAAACGCAGCAAAACGACAATAACGCGGTGCGGGTAAACGCGCCCGGGGTACAGTTACGCGCCGGCCGCGCGGCGCGCTGTACACCGCGGGCCCGCGACATCCGAGAGCGCGATACGTTCGCGCGGGTCTCCGGGTTCGACGCGGCACGCCGTTTCTCACGACGCGACCATCATAATAATGACAACAATAAAAAATATTGTTACGCGCGGTAATGTCAATGCAGGACGCGCGCGAAACGTTACGATACCGTACCGCGACTGGCCGGTCCCCGCGCGCGTTGCCGGCGCCCGGATTTGATTTTTTTTTTTTTTTTTTTTTCCACCCGTCATGTTCCTTTTCGGCGGTGACGGTACCGGCAACCAACGAACAGACGGAACGCCGGGTGGTTGTGGACCAAGTGCGTCGACACGACACGGTGTTTGGGTTTTTTTCACTCGCGGTCTTCATACGAAAAACGTCGGAACCTCGAATTTCGTTTGTTTTTTTTTTTCACGGGGGGGCGAGGGGTCGGCGGATTTCAAAGTAAGTCCGTGAATAGCTGCTAACCGTCGATCGTTGACCGTTTGATGACGTCGCAACGTTCTCGGCCCCCGCGTCGAGCGGCTACCGTTGGATTTCCATTTGGGCATTTCGTCAGGGGAACGGCAATCGGAAAGAATACAAGTGAAAGACCGGTAGGTATCTGGCGGACGGTGCAGCGGTGATGAGTGATGAATCCCTCTGCACGCGCGAGTAACAGCGTAAAACCGCACAATTATAACAGTTTATAACGTTCCAGTTTATTGCGTGATATGGCACATTGGTCTTTAGAATTAATTGTTTCGTTTGCATCGATCGCCGTAGACACCATAGATACGTTTCGACCGACCTTTTAAACGCGATGAATACGATTAACAGACGGTATTGTTATTCGAACGCCCGCGGTACAAACACGCCGGACATTACGGATTTCGTCGAAACTTTTGTCCGGGCGCCGAAAACTCGGACGCGGTTTTTTATTTTTTTTTTTTTTTTTTATACAATTTGTTATTGTCGCGTTTGCATTCGCGAGCGCGGCAGACGATATTATTGTTGTTGTTATTATTAATATTGTAGCGTAATATTGTGCGCAGCGTGTGGCAACGTTATTATTGTCCCGTGTACAATATCATATCCGAAACAGATCGGGACCGCCGTCCGCGACACGTGTGTCGACGTATTACGTGCGGTGACGGGAAGCGGAATTTCGAGAGGAAATAATAATATTATTATAAACCTCGACGCCCCCGCCCGCGAGATAAAAATCGTCGAACGTTTCCGGACGTTATGTGCGTTCGTTCGTACACTCGCGCGTTCCACACGCCTGACATGATGACAGTCGAAAAAGGTCCGTCAAAGGTCATAAGCATGTACAAGCGTGTACAAGGGAGATGACGAGGAAGGGGGAGGGGGGAGGGGGTTAGGGATTTAAACATTCCCTCCCCGAAATTTCGTGAAAATTACGGTGAAAGTAGATTTTTAGTAGAATCTCAAATGTGGTTTCTGTCAACTGGGAAGGTAAATACTAATTTGGTTTTATTTTTATTTTATCACTGGATAGTAGCTAGTTATATAGCTATTGTCATACATTGTCATTTACAATTGTTGTGGTTTTCCTGCTTTTGGAAAACTATAACTGATACGGCGGTATTGCATAGTCCGCATTATCATCGCAATAATATGAATAATGACGCGTATATCATTATACTTGTGACAAAACTGATTAATTATCAATTTTCAAGCACCCCGTCTATTGAAAAATCCTGCGCGCGCCACTAGATAATGGTATCCTATAAAACACTGCAAAAAAGAACTTATTTGCGGATGGTTGTGCCACTGTTGTTGACGGAAAGTTGGGAAAGTAGACCAGTATAATAAAATATAAAGATTAATTTAATTTATGTCTGTACAATAAATCATTGCTAAAAAAAAAAAATGCTTCTGAGCGATATTCATTTAAACGTGGGATTTTTACATGACCGTCTTTGAAATTTGAACACTAAACGCTTATAAAAAAAAAAAATGATAACACTTAATGCTCAATTTTTTTTACCGCGTTTTACAACGTATTATAAGCCTCGTGTTAAATTGTCGAGTATTTTTTAAGCCTTGTATTCAAATAAAACCAAACAAAAATTAAAAGTCTCGACAATATCAAATATCTATAAATCATGACTCAAAAATCATTAGAATGTTTGAAAATGTTCACTATATCTACGAAAAACTTAAATAAATAATTTGTGAAAATTATAGGTATCTACGATTATCTTAAAACCGTATTACAGGAAAAAAAAAAACTAAATCGAAAAAAACGTAAACTTGTATTGAATACATATCACCCCGCTCCCCCGTTTTCGCCAATTATTTATAAAATCAGTAAAATGATCTTCGTTCGATGCACTGACTAGACAAAACTGATGAAGATGCTATCGAGCAAGAATGTCCCGTGGTAAAGTTGTTTACAGACAGAAAATAAAAACACGCGTGTACTAAAATACCAATATACATTCCTTGGTATCGTTTGAAATCTAAATACAAAAAAAAAAAACACACACACACATAGTAAAACAAATACATCCCTGGCATTCCACCTGTTTTCGCTGGGAATCCAAAAAAAATGAAAGTTAAAACTCTACGATGATTCTGTAACGCGTATAGCGAAGGCAATGTCACGAGTAGGCGAAAGAATACAAATTCTCTAATTTTTTTTTTTTTTTTTTGTCGCCCTTGTTTTCGGGGGGATGAAACGACTACCTACTTTTGATTTTCAACCTACGTTGAAAATAATGCCTTAAATAGACGGAGTATTAGTTGTTGACATTTTTTATTCTTTTCTTGTAGTAAATAATCAACTACGTAACGGTACATTATTAAATCGTCGTGTGCGTTGGCCACACAAATAATTCTCCACTGTTCTCCCCAGACCCAAATTTAAAAGTTGAATGTCTCGTTAACGGATTAACGGAAATCAAAATTTTCAATACCGAAATTTATTGTACTCAATCTATTTAGGACATTTTCATTATAGGTTTCCACTTG